CCTGCTCGGCGGGGAGTCTGCTTCTCCCTCTGACCCTCCTCCCTCTCATGCTCTCTGTCTCTCATTCTCTCTGTCTCAAATGAATAAATAAAAAATCTTCAAAAAAAAAAAAAAAAGAAAGGGGAAATTTGGACCCAGACGTGCCCAGGGAGAACATCACGTGTAGACAGAGGCAGAAATTGGGGCGTATGTCTACAAGCCAAAGAACACCAAAGATGACCAGCAAACCACCAGAGGCTAGGAGAGCCTGGAACAGATTCTTGCTCACTCTCAGAAGGAACCGACCTTGCCAACACCTTGATTTCAGACTTCTGGCCTCCAGAAGCGGGAAAGGATCCATCTCTGGTGTCGAAGCTGCCCGGTGTGTGGTGTTTTTGTTAAAGCAGCCCTAGCTAACTGATACACCTGGGAAATCCGAAGGCAGAAAAGAGACAGAGCCACCTTCCTGGGGCTTCTCACTGGTGCTGCCGCCCAGCACGGTCGTGGCGTCAAGAAGTGGTCAGGTGGTGGGTTCTCCTCCCCATCCCTGGGTCCCAGGATTTCATCCGTGACTCAACTGCTTGCACTTAACTGGTACATCATGCTGCCTCCCTGAGTGGGAAACTTTGCTCTTCTGCACTATTTGCTGGTGGGCCCAGAAGGGAGGGGGGGTGGGCTTATAAACAAAAGAAGAAACAGAAAATGGAAAAGCCAGAAAGTTAAAATGATGATGAGCCCAGCGATATAAAAAACTGAAGGGCTCCTCTTGCATGGCATGAGCAAAAACCCAAGAGACATCGAAGACAAACTGAGAGAGGCATTTGCAAACTGTATTGCAACTGAGAGTTAATTAACCTCTTGGCTCTATAAAGAGCTCTTGACAAGCGAGGAAAAGAAGTGAAAGTGGCCCTCAAACAGGAAAAGACACGAAGCCCAGCCCATAGGGGAAGTCAGGCGCACGGAAATGGACGAGTTCGTCCTGGGGATGGTACACCTAGCTGGAGTGCTGTGGGGACAGGCGTGGGGTGGGAGGCACATGGCACCAGCCCGCGGAGGGGACCTTCGTGGCATCCGCCCAAACTGCACATGCCTGTAGCCTGTAACCCAGCCAGCCCTACCCTGCCTGCAGGCAGCTCCACAGGACAAGGGACCCACGCGGGTGGATGGAAGTGAGAGACCGGAAATGGCCCACGCCTGTCAGTGGGGCAGCGGCTGAACAACCCCAGAGCACCCTCCCAGGGGAGCGCAGTCACGTGACTTTAAAAGGAAGCCGCTCTCCAGGCCCCAAGGCCATGCTGTAAGGGAGCCCGGGCTGCCCTGCTGGGGAGAGAAAAAGCACATGGACAACTCAGCTCCTGGCTAACAGAAGCCCCACACAGGAGAGAACCTTCTTGCACCTGCCAGCTGAATGCCCCTGCAGGGGCGCCCCGGCCCATGCCTTGGGTCCAAGGTGCAGAACCTCGACAAACAATCCTGTTGAGTTGGGGGTGGATGGTTTGATAGCACTCGGTAGTGGCTAGTTATCCGTCTTACTGCCCTTTCGGCTTTTCTGGGCTTGAAAGTTCTCAGAATTAAAAACAGAACACAGATGCAGAAGCAATGTCCACGGTGTGGATGGCCACCTGGGTGTATGTTGCCCATCCCCCAGCCCTGCCCCCTCTGCAGGTCCAGGGACGGAGTGAAGACAGACACCTGATTTCAGCTGTGCTATGGCACCAAGCACCCCTTGGATCTCAGCTTCCCCGGTGTTAACAGCAACAGGCCCTCCCATTTGTCAGCAGCTCCCTGCGTGGTGGATCTACACAGTGCCCCACAAAGCACCTCTTTTCCAGCCCGCGGCCCCCCCCAGCACACTCCTCCAGCTGCTCTGGTCCTTCCCTTGGCTTCCTTGGCAGACACATCCTTAAGTCAGAATGCCAACAGAGCTGGTTCTCAAACCCATGCCAGCCCTCACTTGTCCTCCAGCGGCTCCTTATGTTTCGCTAGCTGCTGGGCTCCTCTGTGGCACCTCTGAGTTTCCCACGTGCAAAGAGAGTTCTGTATTTCCTTCTGCTGCCCGCTTCGTCCCTACGATGTAAATGGCCCCAGGGTCAGCCCACGTGTTCAAGCTGGAAATGAGGACAATGCTTGGCTCTTCTCTTCTCCTCCCACATCATCCAGTCCCTCACCAGCCCCTGTTGGTTGTGCCCCTGTTAGGCACTGGATGTGTCCCCCCCAAATTCATATGTTGAAACCCTAGCCCACGATGGGATGGAATTTGGAGGCGGGGCCTCTAGGAGGTAATGAAGTTTAGTCGAGGTCCTGAGGGTAGAGTCACCAGGGTGAGATTAGTGCCCTTCTAAGAAGGGACACCAGAGAACTGAAATCAGGGTCTCAAGGAGATATTTATATACCTGTGTTCCTAGCAGCATTAATTAACCACAATGCCCAAAAGGTGGAAGCCCCAGCGTCCACTGACAGGTGAATGAATGGTGTCCATCCATCCAGTGGAATGTTATTCAGCCTTAGAAAGGAAAGGGCTCTGACCCCTGCCACGACTCGGAGGGACCCCGAGGACACTGCGCTCAGTGAGAGGAGCCAGACCCAGAAGGACACATCCCGCAGGACCCCACTCCCAGGAGGTCCCCAGAGGAGTCCCGTCCACAGAGACAGAGAGGAGAGGGTGGGAGCCGGGGCTGGGGCAGGGGGTGGGGAGTCCGTGCTTCATGGGGACAGAGTCTCCGTGTGGGGAGATGGAAAGTTCTGGAGACGGAGGGTGGGGGTGGCTGCAGGACTGTGTGAGTGTGCTTCATGCCACTTAAAATGACTACAAAGGTACATTTTATGTTGTGCATATTTTACCACAATTGAAAAAACTTTTTAAAATCCTTAATTTTTAAAAGGGGTATGGGGCACCTGACTGGCTCAGTCAGTACAGTATGCGGCTCTTGATCTCAGGGTTGTGGGTGTGAGCCCCACGTGGGGTGTAGAGCTTACTTAAAAAAAAAAAAAATCCTTCAGGGTGCGCCTGGGTGGCTCAGTCGGTTAAGCCTCCGAACTCTTGGTTTCAGCTCAGGTCTTGATCCAGGGTTGTGAGTTCGAGCACCACACTGGGCTTCATGCTGGGCATGGAGCCTACTTTGAAGAAAAAAAAAAAAAAAGCCTTTGGGAGTAAACAAAATTTAAAAAGCTGGGTCATATAAAGACCATGTGAAGGCTCCTGGGCGGCTCAGTCGTTAAGTGTCGCCTTTCAGCTCAGGTCATGATCCCGGGGTCCTGGAATCGAGTCCCGCATCGGGCTCCCTGCCCAGCGGGAAGCCTGCTTCTCCCTCTCCCTCTGCCTGCCGCTCCCCCTGCTTGTGCTCGCTCTCTCCCTGTCAAATAAAATCTTAAAAAAAAAAAAAAAGACCATGTGAAATGAAAAAAAGGAGACAGTTGCTTAGCCTAAAGCCCCATTTATATTGAAATAGCTAGCACCATCTTGTGGATTTCAGTGGCTAAGGGGCCGTATAAACAGTCCATCCAGTGACTGTGCTGAAAATGCAGGCATTGTGGCTCCAACATGATGGAAAAGCCTCTCATTCTACAAAATTGCCAATCCCCAGGACTGATGAAAAAAAAATTGTAATGGGACAATCTCTCATGCTACTTGGAATGACAGCACTAACAAGAAGAATGCAATACTCCATATGGGCACAGTCGGAAAATAATAAACGCACATCACATATGTGTGGCTTTCTCTATTAAAAAAAAAAAATGATCAGGGACGTGGTGCTTGCACAGCATGGTGAATGCATGAAACGCATCGCCTAAGTGAGTTGTACACTTTAAAAGGGTTGGTTATATAGGTTAGGTGAATTTCACCTCAGATAGGAAAAAAAAAAAAAAAGTAAACCCACCGTCAGTAACAAAGTAAATGATCAAACTGAGACAGGAGGAGTGTGAGAAAGCTTTGAAGGTGCCGGGCTAAGACAGGAGCCAAGTGTCTACACGCGGAATGGGCTTCAGGTGTGGGGAGCGAGCGCCACCTGTTGGTGGCGTTGCTGCGCTGCGCTGCGTTCGCGCCCTTGGCAATGAGAGGCTGAGTAGACGGAACCTGCGCACGGGAAGGATCTCTTCCTTATGCTGACACCCTACCCTTATTTCTCCACTGAGTACGAACCCGTGTGCACGGTAGAAACGCTCCCGCGGCGGGAGAGGCCATGAATTTAATCAGCCCCGGTAGTGATAGGCATTGGGATGGTTCTGGAATTTTACACATTATGAGAATGCCTCCCCCCGACCCCCCACCCCCGCCCACCCCAGGGCCTTGGTGCCGACATCCGCGATGGTCTGGCCAACTCCCTTGAGAGAGATTCCCGAAGACTTGCTCGCCTCGCACTCCCAGACGCAGCCCCAGGTGTCCTCGTGTGCATTCCCACCCCCACCCCCTTGCCGTGGACTGAAGGTTTGCGTCCCCCCAAATCCCTATGTTGAAACCTGACCCCCCCAGGTGAGGGTACGGGGAGGTGGGGCCTTGGGGAGGGGCTCAGGTCATGAGGGTGGGGCCCCCATGAATGGGATGAGTGCCTTTATGCTTCTGTGAGCACGTGGGGAGAGGACAGTGGTCAGTGACCCAGGAAGAGGCCCTCGCCAGACACGGACCCTGCCGGCGCCTTCAACTTGAACTCCCAGCCTCCAGAACCGTGAGAAAGAAATGTCTATTGTCATAAGCCATCCAGCGAGCGCTGTTGGAGAAGTCCCCGAACACACCCCTGGCCTGACCAGTCAGCGCCGACTGCCCGCTGGCCGAGGCGCGCTGTTCTGACCCATTTTGGAGAAAGAGTGAACACTACCTCTCGGTCCCAGGCGAAGGGTCCTTTGTCGCCGGGGTTCTCCATGATGGTGGTCCAGTTCTGCGGCTGGGCCCGGCAGAGCGCCGTCTGGGCGGTCAGGGAGTACGTGTACGTGAACAGCCCGTGCACCTCCAGCAGGACGAACTCTGCCTTGATAACCTCCTGGAACTTTCCTTCCCGCCACCTAGGACACACGCGCAGGGCTGGGCTGCAGGGCGATGAAGCAGCCCTGAGGTGTGCTGGGGGCTGGGGGGGCAGCAAGCAAGGCGGGGGAGGGGGGCCGGCCTCACCAGTCTGACACTTCCTGACACTTCGAGGAGGGAACCAGCAGCAGGTGGGACAGAGGAGGGCGGGGAGGTGGGGGGGCACGGGCCCTGTCTCCCGCGGGGTGGCCACAAAAGGCCTCTCTGAGAAGCAGAGACTGGGAGAAACTGATGTGAGGGTCTATAGCCAAAAACTATCACTTGTAAAGAAAGAGATTAATTAGTTAATAAGTAAACCAGTACACAGATGAATAAAACCCTTCACACCTGTCCTCTGACACTTTTCTGATGACATCTGCCACCATTCCAAAGGGATATATTTAGGGCTCTTGACTCGGATTGTTCTAAAAATCACCGTTTTGGGGGCACACAGTCTGTGATCTCCTGCCAGGTGGGAGCTTACGCCCATCGCCTGACTGGTCACTCTTCTTGATCTTTACCCCATGTGGGCTTGCATCCCCCCACATGGCTGCTCTGAGTTTGGGGTTTGGTCCCGCGTGCCCGGCCCCACAGTCTTGCCCGCGCGTGGGATTAGGGCCACAGGGAGTTGAGACGGGACATTCTAACGACCCCGCCTGTTTTGAAGTGTAAGCGGGTTCCTGCCGTCATGAAGTCAGTCTACTACTATTGAGTTGGATGGCCTGCAGGGCACGGAGCTGAGCCACTGGCCGACACGTGCTTGTTTAAGTCAATCACCATTAAGTACAATGGAAAACGCCAGTTCCTCGGGCGCCCTGGCCACACTCAGAGCGCTCAGGAGCCATGTGTCACTCCTGTCACCTGGGTGGCACAGAAGGATGGAGCATTTCCACTGGGCACTGCTGGTCTGGGGCAGCAAGGAGGTAGCTCCACCTCAGGGTGGCGTGGTTCTGGGCCCCCGGGCTGGTGCTCCAGGGGCCCCACTGGCTGGTTGACGACCCACGACAGTGTAGAAGCTATGCACGGTGGGGTCTGCAGGGGCTGTGATGAAGGAAGGCAGCAGAGTCCACGGAAGGGGGAGCAAAATGAGAGCCATGGGCTAGGCCGTGTCCCCCAGACTCCCGTGTGGAAGCCCTAGCTCCCTGTGTGACTCTGTCTGGACATGGGGACTTTAAAGAGGTGGTTGAGGCTGAGTGAGGTCGTAAGGGTGGGCCCTGATCCCACAGGATGGAGGGAGAAGCATGGCTGTCCTCACTCCCTCTGCCACCTGAGGACAGAGGCAGAAGGTGGCCGCCTGTAAGCCAAGGAGGGAGCCTTGGCAAAACCAGCCCTGCCGGCACTCTGACCTTGGACCTCCAGCCTCCAGGACCAACCGTGAGAAAACCAGTGCCTGTCATTTAAGCCCCTCGTTGGTGGTATTTTGTTATGGCTGTGTGAGGTAAGACATTGAAGGAAGAGGGGGCGCCTGGGTGGCTCAGTTGGTTGGGCGTCCGACTCTTGGTTTCAGCTCAGGTCACGCTCTCAGGGTCATGAGATCGAGCCCTGCATCAGGCTCCCGCACTCAGCACTGAGTCTGCTTAAGATTCTCTCTCCCTCTGCCCCTCCCCCACTCTTGCTGGCTCTCTCTCTCTCTCTCTAAAATAAATAAATAAATCTTTAAAAAAAAAAAAAGCCATCGCAGAGAGAGGGGCACAGTAGGGGCAGGGCCCGGAGGGGCCCCTGGGGATCTGGGGTGTGCAGAGAGGGGTGGGGCGGGCGGCGGGGAGGAGGGAGTGCTAGGGGAGTGAGTGAAGGGCCCTCCTGGGGTCTTACAGTTCCACCACGGGCTTCCATGGGGTGTTGTAGTAGACGAGGTGGGGGCAGCCCAGCTTCTCGTACTGGTAGTCCACCACCAGATCCTCACTGGCCTTCTGTCCCTGGAAGTTGGGGTCGTAGGCTTCCCTAGGTAGAGACGGGTAGGGGCAGCATTCAGAGCCGTGGTCAGAATGACCCCGGGAACGCTGCGACGGTTAACGTCATGGGCCCGCCAGGCCGGGCCGGCTGCTGGGCTTCAGGCTTGCCGGCCCGGCCTTTGGACGGGAACTGCAACGCTTCCCTGCACCCCCAGCCTCCCCCATCAGACTGTAGATGGGCCAAACCTGGGCAGTTATGTGAACCAGCTCCTTATACTCTCTCTCTGTGTGTCTTTCTCTCTGTCTCTCTCTCTGTCTCTCCTTCTGTCTCTCTTGTCTCTCTGTACCTCTCCATGTGTGTCCTGTCACCTCTTTCCCTGAGGCCCTGCCTCATGCACCCCTCCGTGCCCCCACGAGGGCTGACTGCAGGCTCGCTGGTCAGCAAGCCCAGCAACCCCAGGTTGGGCCTTGGCCGTGAGTGTGGACAGGTGACTGACTCCTGGCTTGTATCTGAGGGGCCGTGGTGTATAAAACACATGCACGTGTCTTCCCCTGCTGGGGGTCGGGGGCTCCCTGTGCCCGGGTGCCAAGAAGGGCCGAGTCCCCCCCGTGACCGCTCACTGGCACTCGGGACCAGCGGCACCGCACAGAGGGTCACCCTGGCCCTTACCCCCTCCTGCCTTGGCTGACAGTGTCTGGCTACCTCTGTTCGCTCAGGTGAGGTGGTGGCAGGCTGGCAAGATGGCAGAAGGGTGGCCTGGTAGGTGGGCAAACCTGGGCTGGTGGCCCTGCCACATCACACTGGCTCCCTGCTGACCTGCACCTCCCCTACCTGTCCCCTCCCCACCTCAGATTCCCTACTGTCCAGATATCAACCTAAAAATGATTTCCGATTTGCCTTTGGGGTTAGGGGGCAGTCACGGGAGAGAGGGCATGAAGGGAAATTTTGGGCTCACTTCTCGATGATGTAGCTGTAATTGTCCTGAAGGCCCACGGGGTCGAGGATGCCCTTGTGACAAGCTGAGATTTCGCTGCAAGCGACAAAAGTTGGTGAGAAGCTCCCTGCCCCCATGAGGCACCAAAAGAATCATGAATTCTTCCCTTGGGCATGTATACCCCCACTGGTTTCATTTTTGAGACCTGTCTTACTTCCAGGCTCAGCTTGCATCTTCCCTGCCCAGAATCTCCAAGGGGCCCGGATTCGTGTGGGAGAATGATTATCAGAGGCCCAGACCTAGGCACTGGGTGTCCTGACTCTTGAGACAATCATTTCCTGGATTTTCTTTGTAGTGTTACCATCTGGGCATGCCTCCTTAGGCAATGTGGTTTATTTCTGCCGGATTGGGGGTTTTAAAGACTAGAATCATGTTGTGTGTGTTCTGTTGTGTCTTCTGTTCCATATCCATGTTTGCACAACACGTCCAGGCAATTCTGCCTTGACAATTTTCATGGCTGGGATAGTCCATGGCATCCAGCACCTGTTTGCCCATCGTCCTGTTGATGGATTCGAGCTGGCTTGCTTCCAGTGAGGAGCTATTAGGAATAATATTACTAAGAACATTCCAGACCCCTTGCCAATGTCCATGTGCATGATTGGATTGCTGGGTCAAAAGATGTGCTTTCTAAAGCGCTGAAAAATGTACCTACCCCCCCACCGTGAAGTCAGTGTGTTCCAGAGGCTGCCAGGGGCTCCCCGCCCGTGCTGACCAGCACTTGCTACTGGCCACACTCTGCAAATTTTACCACGCTGGTGGGCGAATAATGGCCTCTAAGAAAAGTTTTCGTTTTCTTTTCCCTATTAAGTGAGGTTGGCCACCTTCCCAGTACTTCTTCATGTTTACCAGCCATGTGGATTTCTTTCTTTTTTCTTTTTCGGAAGTTCCTGTTCATGATTTTTGCCTTTTTTTTTTTTTAATTTGTCTTTTTAAAAATGATTAATTTGTAGGAATTCTTTATAAAGTCTGGATACAAGCCATTTGCTGGTTACACATGTGGCAAATATCTTCCCCACTTTCTTTGGCAGAAGCTATTCATATATCGTTTAAAAAATGTTCCCTGCACACATGTCCTAAATATATAATTTATTGATTCAACAAAATGTTTCCATTTGGGGGAAATGTGGTAAAATCGTCGCCTGAGTTTATTATTGCCCTTGATCAGTGGAGCACTGAAGCTAGCTAGCCTCAATTAGTTCCTGAGAGCCAAGTGTTAAATCTTCTGGAATTTTGTGGGCCAGTGGATCGTTTACATTTGTGCTTTAAGTTGACAGGGCCTGCGTATTCACACCACAGGAATTGGCACGTGGTCTGGGATTCAGGCCCCTCCCCACCGCCCCCCCGCCCAGGACCAATTGTTATACATTTATCAACACACCACTGCCTGAAGGGGAAAAGTATGGCAATTTGGCCAATCTTCTGGGTTTTTCTCTTTTTTAAATTGGATTCTCATGGCTGCATTCCCTGGGGGTAACTATGGATACTGGAGGCAAAGTTCCCCAAAATTTCAGCAACCAATTAAAACCAAAAACCCTCAGCATTTTTAATCAAAATGAGGAATTCGGGGACTCATAAAGGAAAGAGAACACACAAAGGATTAGGGAAGAGGAAAAAATGTAAATATCACCAAATTGATAAAGGAGGGGAGGTCACTGTGCCAGAAACACCAACTTAACTTATTCGTATTCATTATTTGACTATTTATTATGGAAATGTTAAATACACACAAAAGTAGACAGGATAATGTCACCCGACTTCAACAGTTGTGAAGCAACTGTGACCAAGCTTGTCCCGTCCCCACCCCCCACCCCGACATCAACACACTTACTTCTGAATGACGATCTTTTTCTCCTGGTCACAACCCACTGAAATGAGCGCTGTCTGCAGAGGAGAGAGGCAGGGATGCTGACCTGGGTCGTGAGGGCCACTGATGGTCCAGCCACAGGAAAAACTCACACCCAGGAGAGACGGGACATGGTGAGCCTGGATCCTGACACAGTGACCTGGGCTCCTGGGATTCACTGTAGCCAGGCTTGGCCCCTGGAGCTCAAGCCCTAAGAGCCCGCCAGATCTATGGGGTGAGCCTAAGTGGTCCCATCACAAACCAATTTATAAATGCAGGATAATATTGGGTGTATAGAAGGCAGGGGAGGAGAATGAATGAATGAATGAATGAATGAGTGGATGGGCATCAATAAACAAACAGAAAGGAGAAAAGAGAAAAAGTTATTTGGGGTTAGCCTGATAGTCTTAGGGACATGCTTCTGAAACTGGACTATGGTGGCACCCTCAGAGATATAAAAGGGAGTCTAAAAAGCATAAGACAGGGGCACCTGGGTGGCTCAGTTGTTAAGCGTCTGCCTTCGGCTCAGGTCATGATCCCAGGGTCCTGGGATCGAGCCCCGCATCGGGCTCCCTGCTCTGCGGGAAGCCTGCTTCTCCCTCTCCCACTCCCCCTGCTTACGTTCCTGCTCTCGCTGTGTCTGTCTCTGTCAAATAAATAAATAAAATCTTAAAAAAAAACCAAAACTTTAATTTAAAAAAAATAAATAAATAAAAATAAAAATAAAAAGCATAAGACAGAGAAACTTTTGGTGTTTGAAAAAGAGCTTTATGTTAAGACAAACATGGATTTACCATGGAACAGAATGCAAGATTGTATCAATTTTACAAAAATTGTGGTATAGAATACATATGATATAAAATGCACCATCTTTTTTTTATATATATATTTTATCATCCATTTGACAGAGAGAGAGAACACAAGGGGAGTGGCAGGGAGAGGGAGAGGGAGAAGCAGGCTCCCCACTGAGCAGGGAGCTCGATGTGGGTGGGACTCGATCCCAGGACCCTGGGATTACAAGCTGAGCCGAAGGCAGATGCTCAACCAACTGAGCCACCCAGGCGTCCCGAAAATTCACCATCTTAACCATTTCTACGGGCACAGCTCAGTGGTAGCAAGTACATCCATCCATCTCCAGAACTTTCCATATCCCCAAACTGAGACACTCTGTCCCCAGGAAGCACGGACCCCCCACCCCCTGCCCCAGCCCTGGCTCCCACCATCTCTTCTCTGTCTCTGTGGACAGGACGCCTCTGGGGACGTCTTGGGAGTGGGGTCCTGCGGGATGTGTCCTTCTGGCTCATCTCACTGAGCACAGTGTCCTCAGGGTCCATCCATGTTGTGACAGGTGTCACGATGTCCTTCCTTTCTAAAGGCTAAATAATATTCCAGTGTGAGGATGGGCCCCATTGTGTTTATTGATTCACCCATCGGTAGACATTTGGGTTGCTTCCACCTTTTGACTATTATGAATAATGTCACTATGAATACTTGTGTACAGGTTTCTGTGTGGATGTATATTGTTTTCCATTCTCTTGGAGCACTGAGGAGTGCCGTTACCAGAGTTGGTGAGCCCTGTTACGGGGATGTCCAACAAGGAACAAGACTACCCATGCACCTGCTCCAAGGACAGTGAGTCATGAGGGGCAGTCCTGGGGGATGCTGTCAGGAGGAAAGGGAGTGACCCTGGCAACTGGGACAGGATCACCTCCATTTTCAGATTCTGAGCATGGGCTCAGCCAGCCCCTCAAGGAAAAGCCAGATGAGGCCCATTCTTTTCTTTTCTTTTTTTTTTTAAGTAGGCTCCACACCCAGCGTGGAGCCCAATGTGGGGCTTGAATTCATGACCCTGATATCAAGACCTCAGCTGAGATCAAGAGTCGGACGCTTCACCGACTGAGCCACCCAGGTGCCGTACCCCCCACCCCCACTGCCATTATTCTTAACACTAACAACAAAGAATATGGGACAGCAAAAATTTGGGACACACCAGTGGCTTGAGGTCCACACACGAAATTTCCTTGTTGGCTATGTCCAGAGTGATGGTAGATCCTGTGGGTCTTTTTATGCTGCAAGGCAACGGGAATGTGTGGTATTGCACACCTGTGTCCCTATAGTGCCAGTGTTAACAATAATCACTGACCCATCGATTTACTTATGCATCCATCCATCATCCATCCATCATCCATCCATCCATCATCCAACCATTCATCCATCCATCCATCCATC